CAGACAGACAGACAGACAGACAGACAGACAGACAGACAGACAGACAGACAGACAGACAGACAGACAGACAGACAGACAGACAGACAGACAGACAAGGAACGCCCCTCTCATTTCCACACACAAACTTTTGCATTCGGCTCCAAGTTGCGTTTCGGTTGTTGAGAGAGAGAAGCAACGTCCTTCGCGAAGAGCTGATGTAATTATTGCCATAGCCCTACATCTTATGAGTAAGTAAAAGCGAAGGGAGCCGGTAGCAGGCTCCACAGAACGAGCTTATTTTGCGAGCTCCCCGACCGTGCAGTCAATCCGACATGGTCTGTTCCCTATACAGTACTCCGTGACTCCGCTGCGTCTCAAACGCTTCGGCATGTGTGGAAGCGTGTGTGTGTATGAGAAAGAGAGTGAGAGAGATTGGCAGACAGAGAAGGAGGGAATGAGTTTGCGAATGCAAGAGAGAGATAGAGAGAGAGGCACGTCTAGGGGGAAGAGAGAGAGAAAGAGAGAGAGGGGAGGGAGGAGTCGCGAAGCCGCAGACCGCACAGCACGAGTCGAGGAAAGCATACCAATCGCACAGCGGCGCGGGCCCAGCGAGCCCAGGGGGCCGGGCAGGCAGTCCGCGGAAGTGGACGTCGTGGTGTGCGGGACTGATTATGTCCACATGGAGGCGTATAGCGAGCGATTAAACAAGCTAGCGCTCGTTCTTCATTTTCCGCCCCCCAAAAATACGAGTAAAAACACCTTAGTTTCATTTTTTGCTAAATTTCTTTCAAAAAAAATAATGTCTTTGGCACCAAAAATTATAAGAAGGCTTATAGAGCAAAACGGAAGAAATGTTCGTGCACCTGACAATTTAAATAAGGATATTTTGGGAGGTTTTTTTTTTATGGAGTTTGAGCGTGAAGTGTAGCAGCACTTGGTTGCCCTGACGCGGGCTGGCGGGGCTTGTCGGAGCTGGCAAGCAGAAAATCAACGGACGGAAAATCAGTTAAGCCCCTGTGAGCCCCCGAACCCGCCCGAACCAGCAGGCAGTAAGTGGGGGCCCAAGCAGTAGCACAGCTCTCATTACAACTTCTTGAGCTCCTCCCCGCTCCCTCCAAACAAGCGGGTGGAGCGAGGGATATATTTATGTTCAAATACCCAGGACCCAGTGCGGCCGAGGGTAAAGGGGTATTTCCACCCTAGTTTATTAATTCCGAAAATTCGACAGTGCTCTCTTTCCGTTCCGTGATACGCACCTCTTTCTCTTTCTGTCCCGGGCGCTGCCAATTACTGTACCTGTGACCTGCTGGTATGCACGCGGTTCCCGCCCTCCCGCTGTCCTGGCGCTGGCCGCGCGCCACACGGCCGTGCCGGGGCGTGCCGGCCGCGCACACAATCAACAGCAGGGCCGGACCCGCACCTAATGAGCGGCACGAGATAGGCTGCGAGCGTGGCCCAAGCACGTGCAACCATACGTGCGGCGGCGGGAGGTACGTG